CTTCTGAGTATATAGTTGGTCTAATATACTGGGCGTTTAAACTGTTAGGAATATAAACTCAAGTTGGAATTCAAGAGCTGCTCTCAAAAACACTATTCTTTAGAGCAATATTGTTATGAGTAACATGATTTAGAATAATAGTAGTATTTGATTATTTACCATTGTAAACAATTTCATATAATTTACTCTCCATCATTTAGTCTCTGTATTCCACTTAGCTAGTCACATAAAATTTTAAGTATTAGTTAATTTCACATCTGTTAGCAGGCAGAAATCCCACACTAAACTGGACTGAAATGTCCTGTGAATTTCAAATTCAAATATAGCAAAATTTGGAAACTTCAGTTTACTGTTCTGATAAGGTCCAAAGATGTATACAATTACCTCATTTATTTAGAGAACATTTCAGGACCCATAATATTCCAGACATTATATTAAGTAGTGGACAAATAAAGACCAATAAGCATAATTCCTGTCCTCAAAGAACTACACAGCTTTATGGAGAAATATGAGTAAGTTCTTCAAAAATGTCAAAACAAAAAGTTTAATCTTTTAAAAATGGAATGACTACACTGGGTGGAGCAAAGGAGATGGGAGTTATGAAGTTTTGAAAAAGTATTTAATTGAAGTGAATCTGTTATTCGGGCAAATCATGTTCATGTCTCTTATTGCTTAACCACAGCCTCTAGGAGCAGTCTTGAAATAAGGACAGTTCAGGACAGACAATTTTTTTTTTAACTCTACCATTTGAAAGTTCAATAAATACTAAAGTGTTTCTGTGCCATTTCCTATGCAAAGACCCTATTGTATTCCAAAATGTTTCCAGATTCTTTCATTTCAAGTCACGTTTCTAAATCTTTCAATTTTCCACAGCATACCTGAGATGAAGACAAAGAGAACGATGTTCCACAGCCATTGATAAAAACTGGTGCTGAAGGATAAGGAATTATTTGTGGAGATGTGAAGATTATACCTTAGAAGAAGTACTCAAAGATATGATAATTTAGTGAAATCAGAAGAGAATAGCATTAGAAACAAACCTCAGTAAAAATAAGTTGGCTTTAAGACAGGGCTGAAGTCAGAAGTCAAAGATTATGCATGCCCTAGGAAAGCTCCAAGTCTGATTCTGATTTAGGAGGGCACGAAGTGAGACAGAAGCAAATAATGTCAGTTATAATGATGAATTAGCTAGGAAATACTGGCCTAAAACTAGCTTTAAATTCTAATTTTTAGATTAACATATCACTATCATCATTCTGAAAAATTAGTCTTCAAACAAGAGTCATTATATTTTGCACAAATTATGAGGGGCAAAGAGTGCTATAATTTAAAAATATTAACCAATCTGGCCAAAACCACCTAATAATCACTTTATTTCTCATCTTCATTACATAATAAGAAATACACATACTCACAGACACACATAGGAAATCTACTCTTAATTTAAGTGTGAGCTCTAGAGTTTTAAATTACATGTACATAAATATTATGCAATAATAGGAACTTATCATTCCCTCTCTTCCTTCAATACCACTTTTCCTCAAACTATTCTTCTGCACAAGATCTCTCCCTGTTGGAGCTGCCACCTTGTTCCATATTGCTACATACAAATCTAACTACGAAGGAAATTATTGTATTCATCTAGAACAATGTCAAGAAAGAATACTGATCATGATGGAAGTACAAAGTATAAGTCTGATTTGGGGTCACTATGAAAATATTTTATTAAAAACCACACTTAAAGCAGATTTTATTAGGGCAACTTAAACATTTTAGATCCAATTTTATGTCCCCCAAATCTATATCCCAAAAGTAACCAAGACCTGATTGTGTAGCAGTAAATAGAAGGTAACTTACTTTCTCACATTACTATAATGACATGCCAAATTATGCCCTATGAGAATATAATGATTTCTAAAATAAAATAAGAGTAATATTATGATATATTAAAATAGAGGGGGAAAAGACTAGAAATTTTCAACCATAAAGGTCTACTCAAAAGTAAAATTTGTGAAAATCCATGTGGATGAACCTATATCTTTTCAGACTGATCTGGATGACAGATGATTCAGTTTACATCATAATTTACTTTCAAATTGGTAAGGGGAAACTGCTCTGAACAGCTCCTTAATTTAAAAAAAAACAAGTGTGGGTGGTGGAGGAGTGGGAGGGTAGGGCAGTGGCAGTGATAAGCTTAACCAGTCTTATTATAACTGTTTTAATAGCTCTTTTCATTTATACTTAAAAGAAAGAAAAACTGAACATGCTCAACAGGTATAGCAACCCATAAGCACCAGTTTCAAAGCCCTTTATAGGTGTTAACTGGGGTCCTATTAGCATTAGTATGACTGTGAATTATGCATGACAGAGTCATGTAAAAAAAAAAGTTTTGTATTACTATACTTAACTATGTCACCACAAAACAGGCTTAGGTTTTCAATGCAGAAAGATTCTTATCAATTCTCATCAAAATATTTCTCACAACAATTTAACCTCATACAAGTCATCTAGCAATAGAAAAACAAGGCTAAAGTGAATTACTATTAGGTTTGAAAATAGCAGTTCAGATTTCTTAGCACTGTGCTTTATACCTATGTTTCTCAAAGTAGAACACTATATGTGTGGATGATAATTAATGAAGGCTAATATTTAGTAAGCACAGTACCACACAATGTGATGAAGTCTTTGCATGTATTGTCTCATTTAATCCCTAACAATCTTAAAAGTTAGAAACTATAACTATCCCTATCTTAAATAAAGAGACATAGATAAATAATTTACCCAAGAAGTGGCAGAGGGTAGATCTGAACCCAGAGCTTAGAACCAAGGCAACAGGAAAGAAAGGGAAGATGCTGAGGGAGACCACAGAAACATCAGCTCCCCATGTAGAAAGGCATACTCCTTACTGGTGGCAGTTCCTCTTATACTCTGGAATAGTGGTTTTCAGTCCTGGATACATATTTGAATCATCTGTAGAACTTTTCAAAAAAAGTATCCAAGCCTGGGACCCTCACTCAGATACTTGGCTTTCAATTGCCTGGCCTGGGGTAAAGACAAGGATATGTATTTTTTTAAGTTCTCCAGGTGATTCTAATGGGCAACTAAGTGAGAACCACCTGTTAACCTCTCCCACCTTGTTAGCCTCTCTAAGTAGCCAACTAAAATCAAATTTACTAATCACCTATTTGGTTCTGAGCACTTCACCTATTACACTTTCCATTATGCCCAACAAAGTACCTAGCTTTCCTTTTCCCTAAACAGAGGAAACACTACAACCATAGCTGCACCTTTTAAAATAAAATCTTGCTAGCTTTTCTTTGATATGAAGAATATAAGGGGAAGAGTGGGCAGATACCATGATAAATTTTGAAAATTTCTTCTTTAAGCACCCATACACTCCTTAGGTTTAAAATAATGTAAAAAGGTCCTAACAGTCAAACAAAACTTAAATGGCAGGCTATGAGACTTAAAAGTTTCTGTGATATATGTTAAAGAAAGATTTAATATCCATAATATTTGGTTATATTTCTTAATTCTGCTGGTGGTAACAGTTAAAATACTAAGTAACTGTTATTGTGGTGATAAATTCCGTTGTCTTCCCATGGCACTGTGACAGTGATAATGAAGTGTTTTTATCCTGTTAAGTCACCTGAACATAAACTAACAGGTGCTAAAGAAATCAAAGCATTACATAAGCATATCCAAACAACAATATGGCTGGTCATATCACGTATTGAGAAATGCAAGGATTTTGCTGACTATCTTATATGAGAAGTCCTACTGTTTCACTAAAAGTTATTCACTGCACATCCTACTCACCCTGTACCAAAAACATAATGAAAAGTGTTCCAGACAGTCTCAGACTTGCTGGCCTTTTGTTTTACTAAAAAGGTGAAGTGTGGATATATCTGACAAGCATGAAGTTTGATCTATGACTTGAACAAGAGATCTAAAATGAAAAAGAGTATAAATACTTAAAGTGGTACAAAACTCTGGACTTCTCAAAAACATTACAAAACTTCCTGCTTCCGGACAGCTCATTATTTGGTTCAAGTCCTCACATTCCTTTATTAGTCATGACCTTTCAGAAAGCTCTCCTTCCTTATTGTTTGAATAATATCGGACTTTCAAATGTTGCCAGTTGGACTAACAGGAACCCTTATCAAACGAAGAAGCCATCCCAGAGTTCATGTCCAAAGGCGGGACTTAGGTTACAGAGAACCCTCAGTAACCTGAGCAGTGTTTGTCCATCACGTAGATTTTTCTTAAATTATCTGTAAACATATATCGTTCCGCATCATAAATATATATGTTCATCTATACATTTTTATCATATGCAATTACAGGAACTTGCATTAGTTCCACAGGAACTGATTCTGCAAGAAATTGTGGAGACCGGTGGGGATGTGTGAAATCGACACAACGACAGTGAACCACTCACTACCGATTGTCACTGGGGTCTCACTCGGCCCAGATGTGGCCTCTGAGCCGTATGGTGTGTGAAATCGACACAACGACAGTGAACCACTCACTACCGATTGTCACTGGGGTCTCACTCGGCCCAGATGTGGCCTCTGAGCCGTATGTCACTAGGCTCAAAGGCACAGCCGAGGAGACAGAAGCACAGGGTAACTGGAAGAGAAAACAAGGGGGAGGCGCCTCATAAAATACGTGTGTTTGCAGCCCGAAGCTGAAGGGGTGGCCGGAAGGGCAGACCCTAAAGAATAACCTTCCCTTCTGGGATCCGCCACAGCACCCAGGCCCGCAGGGCCTGCTAAGAGGGGTGTGTAGGGGAGTTAGGGCAGTGCCTGTCCCCACTTCGGGGACAGACAAATGAAAATCAAGCAAGTTCTCACTTCCTGGTCGCCTACTCTGCCCACAGGCCTCCGACACAAGACGGACACCGAGGAGAGAGGGCCCCCGCGGAGCCAGGGGGCCCGCCCAGCCCTGCACCTCCCGTCCTCGCCCTCGCCCTCGCCCTCGCCCTCCTCCGGCCTTACACGGTGACGTGACCGGAGCCGCGGACCACCACCGGGTCCGGCGAGTACTTGAGCAGCTGCTCCTCCAGGGCCCGCTCCTCGTCCTCCTCCTCCTCGTAGATCTCGTCGAAATCCGCCATCCTGAACCGCCGAGGCCCCCTTCCCGAAGGGGCCTGACTCCAGTGGGGCTGGGGGCCGGGATACGGGCTGGCCAGGCGACGGAGGCTGAGGGGAATCGCTGCCGCGAGCTCAGAGGCCGTGGAGTTCGCGCTGGGCTGTCTCGGCTTCGGCTACAGAGGAGATGGGGTCCTGGCCGCCGCCGCCGCCATTACCGTCAGCAATAACAACACAATGTCAACATCCGCCCAAGGGCCGACACCTCCACCAGCACCGCCGCCGCCGCCGCCGCCACCGCCGCAGCAGCAACTCAGGCAACCACAGCAACAGCCAGAGCCACCCGCAGCGGGAGCACCCGGCTACGGCATCGCGAGACTTCCCGGGAGTGCAGGCGGGCGAGCCGGCGGGCGCGTGGGCGCGCGAGCTGACGCGCGAGAGCGCGCACGTGAGGTCTTGCGCGCTCCCCCGAGTGGCCTGCCTTCCTCCACTTCCACCCGCCGGTGACGCCTCGAGCGCGCGCTCCCGCCGGCGCGGCCCCGCCCTCCGGCAGATGGGTCACCCAAGCGCGAGGGGGAGTGGCTCTGGGGGCTGGTGGCGTTGACCCCGGCTCCAAGAGCAGCGCTCTGAGTGTCCAGTGGAGCACTTAGTGGTCTCTAACCAAAACAACTGAAAATAAAAAGCCCGGTTGGAATAGAGAATTTATTGTGCGTGTGGTTGCCAGTTTATCTAATCATCGGATCTCTCTTTTCGTCGGTTTTTTTAGTCTGTGATGAGAACCAGGGCCTGTACTTTTCCAATTTGAGGAACCCAACAGACACACTGAACATATTTTTGTCCACTAGAATACCGAATTTTCCAAAACATATCCAAATTCAAACATCTTATCCCATCATCCCCTTAAATATAATACAATATATGAGGCCAATGATGCTGATTTTTTTTTCTTACAAGAGAACTATTGTAGTCATGCCGTGAAATAAAACTGACAAATTCTCTGGATTCCAGATTAGAAGATGTAATTTCCTGCCCTAACTGCTTCATCAACTACACACTTCTTTCTATCCTTAAGACCTTAGGGAATCCCTTTTCCTTCCTTATAGCTCCTCCCAGGAAAGGAAAGGTGAAGAGAGGGGAGGGAAGAGTTTATGGATTCCATTTAATGGTCTAAGACCAGTAATAAAGGCCCAAGGGTCACATCAGTTACGTGGTTTTAAAGAACCTGCCCAGGCATACAGTTTAGGGGCAGCAGTGGGCTCCTGAAAGATCTAGGATAATGAGCATCCACTGGGGAGACAGGAGAGAATAGTCATACTGGAACCAGTGTGGGTCAGAATATTCTCCAAGTACAGTGTTCACTTCCAAGTAGTTTAGATGGGTTATTGTTGAAGGTGAGAAAGTACAGTTAAGACAGTGAAATGCCAAGGAACATCCTACTGGTAAAGGTTGAAGAAAATGAGCATAGTTAGACAGGAAAAGATAAAAAACACAGTAGATTGTATCAGACTTCCTGTATATATCTCTTGAGGACATTTGTTCATTTATTCATTCAATAGACATTTACTGAGGCCCAACTATGTGGCAGGCACTGTGGGTGTGGATGTGTGTGTGTGTATGATGAGTTTCTGCCTTCCAGTAGCTTATTTATCACTAAGGCAAGCAATCATAATTCTGTCAAGTGGTCCCAGAGAAGTATACAGTGACTGGGTGGTAACAGAGCAGACAGGGGGCAGCTTGGTTTGGTGGTTAATAGTGGGCTCTGGAGCCTGACTGCCTGCCTTTGAATCTTAGCTCTGCCATTTATGATGTGACCCTGGATAAGTCATTTAATCTCTCTGCCCCTCATGTGCAAAATAAGAATAATAAATAGTACTACCCCACTGGGCTGCTCTGCAGATGAAATGGATTAAAACATGTGTCATGCTTATTAAAAGAGAGCCTGGCACATAGTAAATATGGGGTAGCAATAGGGCCTAAGGCCCCATCCAACTAACTGACTCTGTGAGGTTTAGCACAATTTTTTTTGCATTAAGTTTTTGCATTATTGTTTATGAAGCACATATACATCATTTAATATTCCTCAAGAACTCTGTGAGGTAACCAAGGAGGATGTAATTTATTCTTTAGTTTCACAGAAGCTGCTTTACAGTCAAATGGCTATTTAAGAGTCAAACTCAAGACCTCAACTCTAGTGCACTGGATAGGTCAAGCTCCTGACTTTCCTTCTTGGCAAGAACTGGGAGGCCAAGTGGCTGCACTCAGTTAAAGGAATGGCTGCAAATGGGAGGGTGAGAAAAGGGAACCAGATGAAGGAAGGTCTGTATGATCCAGGCATGGCCCACACCCTGTGTGCTGTGACTGAGAATTCACCTTTCTGTAGGAATGGTGGCCAAGGGGCTGGTGCCCCAAAGTATCTAAATTATCACATAACTGACAACCTCCCAAGGGAGGTCATCCACAGCTCCTTAAATCTCCAGCACTTTCCACAGCTCCTGCTTCAGAGAAGGAGCTCAATAAATGTTATCTGAATTGAGATTTATTGTCACTAGTGCTATTTCCAGAACATCATGAGTTAATTAGGCTTCCAAGGACTGTGAGAGCCTCACCCCTATCTTAACACTGGTTCTGTTTGGGAGAAATTTTCTTATTCTGAGATCTATTCAACAGAGAGAATTTTGCAACTCCCACCACCTCAGCGTAAGGTAGAGGCTGCCTTGTTTTTGCTCTTCCTATTTTGCACTTCTTTTTCCCGTTCTGGAAAACCCGTCAGAGCCAGCAAAAGGGTGCAGGACCCAGAAGAAGGCTGAGAGGGTGAGGGGAGATAAGTGAAACATGGCCCTGATGATTGTTGAAATCATAATCCTAAACTCCCCACCGGCCCTCCTGAGTCCTGTTTCCTGTTAAACACCTTTCCCAGTCTTTTCCTGGGGACAAGGAAAAGACCTTCTCAGTAACTTTTCCCTCCAGCGTTCAGGCGCTCTCCTGTGCTCTGCGGTGTAGGCTCCTCGACATCCGAGCTCCCCTTTATATTTCTGCTTCACATACTTTCACCTTTATCTTCACAGCAAATGGCTAAAAACCAAACAGGATAGTGCCTCAGGGGCCTCATGAATCAACACATCTGCAGTTGCTTTTAGGCAAATATTCCTAGATTCGAAAATTTCCAAGTTCTGTCACCACCTAGTTGAGCGGCCTTTGGCAGGTTCCACTTTCTAAGCTTCCTTTTTTCCATCCTGAAATGGGACCTGTGTCATGGGGTTGTCGAGGGTCCTGTGAGGTAGCACACGTGCCATGGACTGAATTGCGTCCCCTCAAAATTCACATGTGGAAGCCCTATGCCCCAAGGTGATGTGTCACTTGGAGATGGGCCTTTGGGAGGTAATTAGGTTTAGGTGAGCTTCTTGGGATAGGATTTGTGTGCTTATAAGAAGAGATCAGAGAGCTTGCTCTCCCCACCACCCTCCCATTGGTGTGAGGACACACGAAGCAGTCTTCTACCTGCAAGCCAGGAAGCTTGTTCTCACCAGGATCCAAACAGGCAAGCATTTTGATATTTCTGGAGACTCTCAGTCTCCCGAACTGGTGAGAGATAAATGTCTATAGAGTAAGCCACCCAGTCTATGGTACTTTTTTGCGGCAGCACCAGCTGACTAAGACAGCAAGTAAGCCCTCATTTGTTCACTCATTCATTCATTAAACAAATATGCATTGAATTACTCCCACATGCCATACCCTCTGCCAGGAACCAGGGTTTAGCAATAAGGTAGTAAACAAAACATGGTCCTTGCCTTCATGAAGCAGAAAGGCCATGGGGGAAGGGTGACAGATAATTATAAAAATAATTAACTGTTAGGAGTGTGGTTAGTCCCATGAAGTACAGGGGACCATAAGAGTTGATGGACCTAACTCACTCTGAGAAGTCAGGAATTCTTCTCTGGGGAAATGACACTTAAGTGTCAAAGTGTCAAGGTAAGAGGGTGGGGAAATAGAAGAGAGGAGAAATTTCTAGGTAGTGAAAATGGCATGTTTGTCTTCGTTTGGGCAGCTGCAACAGAATGCCATAGACTAGGTGGCTTATAAACAACAGAAATTTATTTGTCTGCCCTCATGACCTAATCATCTACCACAGGCCCCAACACTTAACACTGTCATATTGAGGGGTTAAGATCTTAACATAGGAATTTGGGGGAACAAAATATTCAGTCTATAGCAATGCTTAAAGACTCTGAGGCAGAAAAGAGCACGGCCCAAATCAGGTACAAAGTAAAGACAGTGTGGTTGGACCATAGCAAGGAAGGCAGAGCCGAACTGCAAACAGATCAAAGAGGAGGTCCCAGCCTTAATGCCATCTTCTGAGAAGCCTCTGTGCCATGAGAACGAGGTGGAGGAAGAAGCGAATGCACAGGCTGAAGCACAAAAGAAGACGATGCAGACGTCCCAGTGAACCTGTACACCCATGGAAGCTGCAGGAGCAGAAGCAAGGAAAGCCAGAGGCCAGGGGCGCTGACAGAAACTGTTGGACTGCATGTCTACAGTCTAGAACTTGTCTTACTGGGGAACATCTGTCACCATTCTAATCGCCTTGACCACCTTTAAGAGACACATCTTGCTCCTATCAAAATGGTCCCTTTGGGTCCTTTGCCCTGGACCTGTGATATTCTGGACTAGTTCTGTTCTCAGTTGTGGCTGAATGTAATGCGTGCAAAATAAAGCATCTCTTCTGCTGTCTTAGCTGAAGGAAAAAAAAAAGATGAAAGAAAAGGGATAAATTTGGGAGTTTGAGACTTACAAAGATTAACCACTATAGATAAAAAACAAATTTCTTCTGTATAGCACAGGGAACTATATCCAATATCTTGTAACAACCTTTAATGAAAAAGAATATGAAAACAAATACATGTGTGTGTGTGTGTATATATATATATATA